TTATTATAGAATGAAAGAAGGAGAAAACAAATTATAATATGGAGGAAAAGATATCCTCTAACATAAAAAAAAAACGCAAAAAACATATCAATGAAACATTCATAATGTAAGCTAAAATAACGCTGCCTTCCAATTCCATTGGAGATTGGACAAAGGCAAGCCTCCAAAGCTCCCGGAAGCTTTGGACCAAAGTGAAGTCATGTAAACAATTATTTCCCATATTAATCCTATAGGTAGGAGATAGACACTAAGCTATTCATTTGATTAAGCTTCATTCCAATATGTGGCTTATATGTTTTTATTTTTGGTGACCTTGTAGGCATTTTAAAAGTTAAGATTAACTATAGGAATGGGTGAAAATAATTGGTCGTGAAAATTGAATCATAGTGATAGTAGTAAGGTCAGATGTCTCGAATGCGAGAAGACTCCCTCGTGTGATTCTACGCTATGAGATGGGTGGATAGTATAATACTAGAAAATGTAAGCTACAGAATAAGGTTGAAACTAGAAAATTGTGAGATGCCCATACACCCAATTGCCCCCTTATCCCAATATATACAACACCCAATTGCCCCCTTATCCCAATATATACAACACCCAAACCCTAATTTTTCCTAAAGGTCAAACGATTGTTGTTGCTGCTACTGCTGCTCCCTGCTGCCACTGGTTTGCTCCTCTCTTCTTCTTCTCTCTTTTATTTCTCTTATTCTTCTCTATTTCTTTTAACTCGTCTTCTTCTTTGACAAAAAGTTTTACATCTGCTACTTCTGTCTTCTTTTTCAACAAAAAACACCACACAGGTACCTGTTTTTTCTCTATTTCTCTCCTCATACTCTTTTCTTCTTCTTCTTTTTTAATTCTTCTTTTTCTTCTTCTTCGACAAAAAATACAGGTACCTTGCTGCTTCTCTTGCTTATACTGCCGCTTATGTCTTCTTCTTCGACAATAGAGATAAGTTCTCTTATCTCCTCTCCTCTTCTCTTCTTGCGATTCTTCTTCTTATGGTTCTGCACCCCGTCTTTCTTCTCCTTTTTTGCTTCTGGTTATGATTCTGCTTCTCCATTTTTGCTTCTGGTTCTGCTTCTCTGCATCTGTTTCTATGCTTCTACTTCTTACTTCTCCTTTTCTACTTATATTTTGCTTCTGGTTCTGATTCTGGTTCTGATTCTGCTTTGCTTCTCTACTTCTCTGCTTCTACTTTTGCTTCCCTGATGCTAATTCGGCTTAATGTTGATTTTGTTGATTCTACTTTTTTCTGTAATGTTGATTCTATTTTTTTTTTGCTTTTAATTTGATGCTGATTTTCTCTACTTAATGCTGAATTTGTTGATTTTGTTGATCCCTGCTTCTGCTGATTTTTTATAATACTTAATGCTGATTTTCTGTAATACTTTTGCTTATTTCTGTAATGTCTTTGCTTATTTTCTATACTGTTTATTTTTGCTTATTCTGATTTTTTGTAATACTTTTTTAAGTTATGGTTGTCATTAAGATTTGAAATATTACTAATGTTTGTTTGAAATGAAATGCTTATGGTTCTGCTTGCATTTAAATATTTAGTATTTGTAAAATTAAAACTTAGATATTTAGAAGTAATTAAACTAAAATATTTTCTTTTTTTTTAACTGCTCGCTTCGCTTTGATGAAGTATTTCACTTCGCTTCTCGTCTAACCTTTAGGAGACTTAGTCACTTTTAATTCGCTTTACGCCTTAAATAACACTGATCTAACCAACTCCAACATAACCTCATCAGGTGGGTATAGAAAGGGTGGGCTTAGTAGTTTAATAATAAAAATTTTAATGGGGTGAGGTGGTAGTTTAACATTATTTGCCCAAATTTATATTTTGAAAGTTGATTAGTTTTGATAGGAATCTCGTTGTAATTTGTTTTATGTTGTAGAAACTAGCTAAAATGAGTTGTATCTAGTGTATTTTTCTGGAATTAACTCTATTTTGTAGAATTGTTGACATCTTCTATTGAGCAAGGATCAAAATATCGTTTCGGTGTATTGTTTCGGTCACTTAGAAAACGGAAGTTTCGACGTGTTTCGAAAACATTTTGACTCGTTTCGGAAACAAAATTAAAAAAATAAAAAATTTAAGAATTATTTTTCTAAACCACTGAAAGAAATATATCAAAGTATTTTGAAATATCTTGAAACATTCTAAAACAATTGTGCAAATGCATTGAAATATTATAATACATTTAAAAATATTATGGAATACCTCGAATATCAGAATTTCAATTCCATCACTGTTTCGTTTCGGTCTTCTTCAAAACGGAAACGCTTTAGACGTTTCGACCGTTTTGAAACGATATTTTGATCCTTGCTCTTGAGGTAAACTATATATCTTGTATTTGCCCAAGATTTTCTTATTGTTCCATTCAATTATATTTGCAATATACATTATAATATTCCCATTCATCTACAACATGCGTCTCGACTAGATGAAGCCCACGGCTCTCGCCTAGGACACAAGAGAACTTGGCGCCTCATGCACCTTTCACCATAAAAAACAGTGGAGCAGACTTTAACTGTAACACCCCGCATTTTCTTTTATATATGTATATAGATATATAGTAAATAATTGTGATAAAAAAAATGTGGATATATGTAGTGATGTGTGTTTGAATTTGGTAGATTGAAAAAGTAGAGATTTAAAATGTTAGTGAAAATAATAGTTGAAATTTGATTTTAATAAGTGAAAATATGAAATTTTAGGTCCTAGAACTTGTATTAAATAGGTTTGGTGTAGAAATATGTGTTGAAGAGGTTTGGGATAGATTTGGTTGGCTTAGGAATGGATTGAAAATGGAAAAGGGACGAAGACAGGCTATGAACAGTGCACTGCTGCAACTTCAAGCTCGATTTAGACCTTGATACAGTCAATATCTCTCAAAACTCAAAACATTAAAGTTTTAGAGTTCTTTCGTATCATTCCATATCATCTTGAATCATCTCAATCGGAGCTTGGATGAGAGAGTTATGCTCAGATAACAAAATGATGTCGAAATAGTCCAATTAGCTTCGTTTTGTATTTAATGTCTCCATTTGCATCCTAAATCAAAATATAAAAATAATGAGTACTTTTAGGCTTCAAATAAGTATAAAAGGTTTCAAGAAACACCCTTTATCACCTTTTATTTACAAACATCGCAAAACTTCATTAATAGCCGATTCGGATGGGTAAAATAGAAACTTTAGTGTTTCGGGTGTACGTTGACTTGGGTGTTGAGATAAATCATAAAAATAAATGTTTTTAGGTTAAAATAACATTAAAAATGAATCCGAAACGTAGAAAAACCTTAGGATAGTCATATGGATCAAATTGGAGATTCTTAGTGGCAAAACCGTAAATTTTGAGAAATCCAAAACAACCTGTGAACAGTATTTTTCGGGGCTGCTATGTTTTAAACTCATTTTCTTCTCATTTGCTCTCATTTCCTTCACTCCCCTCACACCCCCACACCTCTTGAAACCCTAGAGGGCATTAGAGAAGAAGAAAGGAAGGTAAAAACAAGAGATTCAAGGGTGATTCAAGATCAAATATTCTTGTTCTTCACTCCAAAGCTAAGGATTCAAGGTAGGGGTTTTCTCTCATTCACTTACATTGAGGCTAGGGTATTTATATATGTATGTTTTGGCTATCAATGATATATATATACTATGGAATCATCCTCTCTTAGACTTTTTGCAAGGATTACACGTTTTGAACAAAGTTAGGTTTAATACCCATGAAATCTCATTTCTAGTTTTAAAACCCTAATTTTTGGAGAGTGATGTATTTCCTTCCTAAATGTTTTCTTTATTATGGATTTCAAAACCTTAGTGCTTTGTGTTGGGTAGAAAAATGATGTTATTGTGATCTCATGTATTTTATTAGTTAGTTGTAGAATTGTTATATGATATATTTTGAGAATTTTGGATAGATGCTTGTAAATTGAGATCAATGTTGGAATTTTATGCTTGGTTGGGTTGTTTATAATGCACATGAGTGAGAGGTTCCTTGTAAGGATGCTCACCCCTTCCCAAGAGGTTCCTGGTAAAGATGTTTGGGAAATAATGTAGTGATTGGTGAGAAGTTCCAAGTAAAGATGCTCATCCATTTTCAAGAGGTTTCCGGTAAGGATGCTTGAGAATCAAAGGTGACCTAAAAGGGGGTGGAGGTTACCACAAAGTATGCCACCTACCGAAAGAATTGTTGAAAATTGATTATGACAATTAATTGTTATTATTTGTATGTGGTGCTCATTTATTCATTTAAATAATGTTTTTAAATAAACTTGAGATCCTTTTTAAATGTCACTGCTTTATTTCAAATTATGTGTCTATGTTATGTTAAAATTGAGACCGACCGTTTTAAATGCTTTCTAAACCTTGTATGGGTTTGGGAGAATGTTTCTACAGAGCTTCGTACTCACCCCCTATCGCTAACATTTTTCAGATTACCCGCTTGAGGAAGAGGACGTAAGGGTCGAGGAGCCCGCTACTTGGGAGACTCCACAAGACGGGAATGTGGATCCCGAGGTGGACGCATAGAGCGACCTCCTTTCCTTTTGTACTAGACTAGAACATTCTTTTGGAATATTGTGTAGTCTAACTTTTTTTGTTTATTCCGCTGCGCTTCCTTAATTAATTTTTGCGATGTAATAGCCATGACTTGGGCTTATTCTTTTGGATAATGTTGTAAATATTCGTGGATGACAAATGAAGTCTTGTTTCTTAAGGGATTATATTAGTGCTCTCATGATATGAATGGTTTTAGAATGTAATGTCATCCAGGGTGTGTTTTGGGGCATTACATTAACAACCCAAAATTCGCCTAGACTCGACTCGGTTTCACCCCTATTCCTGGGCCTTTAGATGCCATTTTAGAGCTCTTTGGAGAATTTTTCATTGAGCTAGTTCTACATAGTTTTTTCGATTTGTCCCCTTTGCACGACTCTGGCTGTACATGGGTTGTGTGCTCATCCTCTGGAGTTTATTATGAATTTTGCCTAGCAATATGAAAATGACATAGCATGTATGCATTGAGGAAGTATATGGTTTAGTGAAGTTATGTACAAAAAATTACCATAGATTTCCTTGGCTATTTCATTGAAGACACGAACCAAATCTTTCCGATTGTCATAATCACTAGGTTTTGGAAGATTAGTGACATGAATCTCATGAAGTATTTCCTCAAGTGCAGGTATGTATCCCATGGTTACTTTATGCTTCTGTAACCCTTTTAATTCAAACTTCTGTGCTTTCTTGCGCAGGACTGTAATGAAAGGCACTCAAACCATATGCAGAATATTAATTTGCAAACCAAATAATCATTCAAATAAGTTCGAGTTAATACCAAAGGAACAATCAAACATCACCAGCTTGTAGCGCAAGCAATGAACAAGGTGAAAACTGTTACTGGTTAAAGTTAATTAGAAGGCCAGCAGGGTCAGGAGTTGAGCTATATTTACACAGGTGCATGGATAATGACTCATGAGCTGCTTCTACTCAACTTCGCCTAACAAAGACTTATGGGACTTGTTTTACATCTTATATCTTCTCTCAAAACCCTATTGCACACATAGTTATGCTTGATGTCATTTGCAAAAGAGTAATATCTACAGTGAAATACAGCATCTTTTACTTATAAGAAGTAAAAAATTCTTTGAAAATGAGAATATTACATAGGCTAAGGACAACTCCTCGACCCATGTGTTCAACATATTTCTGTTTGTAAGAAAGTGCGATAAGAGAGAGCTTTCAAACCAAAAAGATGCTGCCCCATGCATGTTTCAGTATTGAAATTCACCATATGAGGCGATGTAATATTTTAGCTAATGGGTATGGGCTGTTTGCTAACACCGGCAACCTTCTCTCAGTATAACTTGCCAACATCTACACCAGGAGATCCTAGTAAATGATTTGTTAATTGTGAGTGACACCCAAAATATTGACACTACTTCAGATCAGCATGATTGAAAACAAGGTACCACCTCGAATTTGTTCTCCCATATCATGCTTGAGTTGCATGATGAATGATTCCCAACCAAGTGTGACTCAAAATTCCTAGGAAGTCTTAAAAGAGTGGAGAAACAAAGGTCCAAAAGAAGCATTAGTTACATATACATACTAGCCGTTTCGAGCCTAGCAACTCCAAGTTGTAATTGCAAAATACTTCCTTCAAAAGAAATCAAACTCATTTACTCCTAAAGTTGCTTCATCGTATAGCTAAGTCCTAAATCATCCCCTTTAAGTTTCACGTTTACAAGCAAGAGTTAAATGAAATACACTGCTGGATTAAAATGTCTGGGTCACTCACCTTTTTCACGTAATGCCATAGTCTACAACCTACCAAATGGATGGAAGCTTCAGGGACAAATAGCGCTGTGCAGCACAAACCCTATAGGGAAAATACGTCAGATTGGACGATATTACATTCATCACTAGATCATTATTTCAACCCTGCAGCAGGAAAAACAAAATTTATTTGTCAAGATGAACATTCAAAGTCATAAAAAAGTCACGAGGCCGTTTATTTTTCTTCGATAATAAACACAAATTTTATTGATAACAAGAGATCATTACAAGAAAACAAAAACAAATGGGGACAAGCAGTCAAAAAGATGCCAAAAAATAAATTCTATCCCAAAGACCCCCAAACTCTTCATTTTCATCCACAAAAATCCTCCCATTCCATTACTTCCAAATCACACATAGTGTAGCAAAGAACATAAATGAGTAAGCAAGCAGAAATAGCTTCTCCGGTATGTGAAACTTTTATAAGCTAATTCTTGGTAAAGATGGGCAATTTTCAAAAACGTACCATGCACGAGGTCTAGCACCATATGAACTTTGGCATTAACAAATTAGTTGAGGCCCAAAATAATAAAGTCCAACTCTAATAATCATTGAAGATACTATATACGCAGTTAACTTAATAGATTGGGGAACTTAACTAGAGAACCGGTGCCTTGCACTTAACAAAAATACTTCACAAATTCTAAGAGAATTAAGTTGAGAGCAAGATGACCACAAAACCAAGGACAAAGAAGTTTTCCAATAGATTAGCCAAAAAAATTTACAGACACAGTTAATGTTTCCCATGCATAGATATGAAGTCCAATCCAGCAGCAAATTCTATCTAGTAAGAGTAGTTAGCCCAATTCCAGTGAAACCAGAATCTTTGAGATCAGATCCCCACCCCAAACATAACAATCCCATCCATTCCCTTGAGATGAATCATTAATCAGGCGAAATGGTCCTTGATCGTCAACATACCAGTACATCGAAACTAATTACCAAATAATTAGTAAACACCTTTTTCGGGAACAAGAAAGTTTTTTTGAAATTTGGGCACAGCATAGAATTCCCATTGTAAACTTTTATCAAAGAAAGAGAAAAGAAGGAAAAGAAAGAGGAAATATTATTCCGTGCACAGTAAGACTGTGCAACAACATCAAAACTTAAGATACATAATAGAGGCCCTTATATAGTAGGCCAACATCAAATAAAAGAAAAGACTAAACTGCCCCTATAATTCAAAGTATACCAGACTACTCTAACAACCCCTCTCCCCTAAAACTCATGATATGATTGCGGAAAACATCAAAAGTTTGTCAAAAAAAAAACAAAAATGCGGTATGGTGTGAGGCTTTATAAAGCAGTTTGTTAATTGCATGGTAGAAGCAAGAAAAAGGTGAGAGATGGTGTCCAACTGAATGTGATGGTCCACAAAGTGGCGGTCAATCTCAATATGCTTCATTGTTTTAGAATCCAGTCACTCGGAAAGGGATCAGGTCGATGGGTAAATGGTTCAAGAATTGAGTTAACAGGTCAGACGTATAATATAATAAAAAATAATAAATAAATTATAAATAGGCTAAAAAATACAATAATTATGGAAATAACATCAAACATGTAAAGTTAAGTATAGAAAACTCATCGCACATGTATCAAATGCACTCAATTTTCAATTCAACTTGTAAAGTTAAGTAGAGATAAATGCCCAATCTGTATAAATCGAGTCAGTGTATAAATCATTGAATTATCCATTTATAAATCATTGAATTATTCAATGTATGAGCTTCCATCCATGTAGAAATCAGTGAATAATCAAAGATTCAAGGCGTCATTGATTTCAAACTCTCAATTGCCTCCTCTTTCAGCGTTTTCTTCGCTCCCAAGGACATAAATCTCTACACCCACGAAAATCCAGTTCATTACAACCCAAATTTTAACTTAAAAACACATATAACTACTATAAACTTTCATATATAAATATATATATATATATACACAGATACAGAGAGAGAGAGAGAGAGAGAGACATTGTTCAGCCGAGAGTCAGAGTCAGAGTAGAAAGACTGAAAGAGAGACCGAGGGAGAGAGTTTGTACCTGCTACTGTCAATGGCAGTCGTCGAAGCCTCGATGGAAGCTCTGAAGCAGCCTTCTTGTTCGAAGCTTGTGTTCCTTCACTCGTTCCACTTCGATTAAGGACTCCCTTGCTTGCTCACGGCGCAGAGAGAGAGAGAGAGAGAGGTGTCGACAGAAAGTCGTCGACCGTCGACAAGGCAGAGGGGCAGAGCACTCCCGGATGCCTGGGGTGGTAAAGGCTTGAAACGATTTGGGTAAAATGCCTAAAGGAAAAAGCTCGGCATTTTATATTAACGGGAGAATTACACCTAAATTCTGTAAGATTTGTGGACGTGTTTTTTAAAATATTATATACAAACTCTTAAAATTTATAAACGCATAATAATTAAATTCTGTTATCGATGTCCGTTATAATAAATTATATTTAATCCCTTTAATATTTATAAACGTGTAATACTTAAATTTTTAAATTTAAAATATTATACTTAGATTAAAAATACTCTAATTAAATATAGAATATTAAATATTTTAAATTTTATAACTAAAATTCATATTTTATTATGATAGTTATTGAAATAAAATGAAAAATAAAAATTTAATTTTTTCTTAAAAAATTTTAATTAGTATACAATTATACTATCTGTTAGAATTTAATTTTTTTTTTAAATGACCAAATTAAACTATAAAATTATCTCAATTAAAAATAGAATATATTATTTTTATTACAATTTGATCTCTTGTTTAATTTTTTAGTTTTATTCCAATATATAGTATAATTGTATACTAATTATGATTTTAAAAAAATTTAAATTTTTATTTTTGATTTTATTTCAATAAATGACATAATACAACATGAATTTTTGTTATAAAATTCATGTATTTATTACTGTGACGCCCCTAAAACTGAGGGTCTTTTGTTAACCCGTTGATCATTCATCAACTGACGAAAAATACCCGTGAATGTCGCATAACCCGACACCATGTCACAATATCCCTTTTATTGGGATCACAACAACTCAAGTTTGGGCAGAGTCTCCCATATGTCGGACACTCTCAAACATATAACTTGTATACCATTCAACCACATGAATCATCCGAGGCCAAAATATACCACAATTTATACTCTTTTATCGCCAATTTGTTTCATTTAAATAAATGGACACAAACTCGTAAGTATGACAAAACATTCTTAAAAATTTAGATTTTTAGGAAAATCTATCGGTAGAAGATGATCATGTTCTACCGATAGGAAAACCCTCTAGAAAAGTTCTCCCGGTAGGTTTTGCTTACTAAAAAAATTTTACCGGTAGAAGAACTCATCATTCTACTAGTAGGTTTTAACAGTTTTCCTACGATTCCTTCATTTTTCAATTTCAATATATTCTAAACTTATACAACCTCATACCAACACACATATAACATCAATTTTAAGTAAAATACAGTTCATATGAGTTCACTTTACAATATTTTCATATGTCCAAAACTAAATGACATAAAGGTTTTTGTTTCTACAACACATGTTTCAAAAGTCATAACTTGGCTTTTCTTCAAACATGAGGCCCCGATTGAGAGCTTTTTTGTAAAGATCTAAAAAATGAGGATAAATTTTTCATTTTGCCAATGGGGCACTATTCATGCACCATTTGTCAGTAGGGACACTACATATACATCATTTAGGCATAAGTTATGTTTATGAGCATAATTTGAGTATGTCATAGAAGAGAAACATGCTTAGAATGTCAAAATACACCTATTTTGTGAAAATTGAGCCTAAAAGGAAAGAATTTAAAAAATTGGACCAAAAGGGCATTCCGGGTAGAACCGGGCAAACCCGACCACAAGCAAAAATCTATTTTTTAAAATATTTTCATTTAAAATAATTTTAAGAATTTTGATTAAAGAAAAATGTCGAATTGAAGTATTTCGGGACGGTTTGTAGTATAACGGGATTCCAAATTCTTAAGGCAAAAGGGTCATTTTGCACCTTTGTCCCTCCACTATAAATACAGTCTTCTTAATGTAAAAATATCATTTTTTTTGGTCTGGAGAATGAGCAGAACACGTTCATGGAGAGAAAGTGAAGAAAAACTCTAGGTTCTCCAAGCTTCAAGCCACCAAACCACACTCCTAGACCAAGATTCCTGTAAGACTTCCTTATAGGAAGTTGTTCCTCTCAATAAGGACTATATTCTCACCAATCAATTTTGCTACACAACGAACACAACTGTCTCGATTTGAGAAAAACTATTTTAAGTATGATATTTTGCTAAGTTAGAAATATATTTAAGTTTACTTGTCTTTCTATGTGTTGATTGAATGATTTATGTATTTACTTGATGTTAAAAAATCACTTAAGTGATAGTTGCTTTGAAAACTTAGAGTTAGTAGTTTAGGTACTTTTGTGTTCTTTGAGTTTCTTGACAATTTGTTACTATGATAAAGGTGTACATTATATATGTGTTAAATTATTATATTCTAACTTATGTTCATGTAGAGAAATTCTTGTGGTTTGAGAGTTATGATTTATTTCATGAGTTGGTAGTTCATGTATTTGTATTTTCTTTGAGAAATTATGAAAGTAATGAACATAAAACTTGATCATATGTTTAATTCATTGAATTGTGCCTCACATTTATGTAGACAAAGTGTTGTGAATTTAAAGTTATGATTTACTTTATGAATGAGACATATTTTAAGTTATACACCATATGTTGATGAAATGTTTCATAGAATTTACATTGAAAAAAATGAAGGCATCTTGACATACATGAATCCTTGGAAACATAGCGTGGGGTTAAGCACTTGATGCTATGCATTATGAGGGTGTAGATCTTGTGGTGAAAAACTCAAAATCTGGCCAATGACAATACTCACAGGCTAATGGGGGCGGCCGTGAAACGAGACACTTGCACATGTCACTCCTTAAATTTGCTCCTAGCATTAGCATTTTGTCATACCAACAAT